GGTCACAGCTTTTGGTGACTTAAAGATTTTTTTTTTTGTTTTTGTTAAAAGACTTTAAGATTATGAATTTGAACAATTTTGAATTTCAATATAAATGTTTTGGTATTCTTCTCAAAACAAAAATTATGTGTACTTAGAAAACAATAGATGATTGCACAAATTTAAAGTCATGATCAAACTCACTTACATTATCATTGAGACTAATCATATATTGATTCATAAAATATTTTACATCTTGCTTCTTACTTCCCTTAAATTTATTCTCACTCTAAGATTTTATCATACAAATTGAAACCCAAAATCGAGATTTATTATATTTAAGCTTCATGAGACCCATCCAATGAATAGAAATGAAAAAGAAAAATCTAAAAATAGGTTTTTAATTAGGTCAATTAAAAGCTCCACAATCACGACGAATATTACCATTACGACCAATTTTAACACCAACACGACCAAGCTTGATCATGGAATTACCAAAAGCTTGATTAAACAACTGTCCATTACTAGCCCATAAGTCAACGGTTGGCTTTGACCTACCATCGGTAAACAAATCTTGATCAGACGTGAACAATCCTTTGCCTTGTTGCAAGTTTTTGTAGTAAACATTATCGAATTGTCTAGGTGTTGTTGGGTCCATGTTTATAGCCACACTTGGATCTATGTTTCTAGGACATGAAGCTTGTAGTTCTGCCACGTAAGCTTTGTTAACTGTAGGATCCACTTGACTTGTCTTGTTGAAACTGTAAATCCTATTGAATACTTTGGTGCAATGAGCGAATCCTAATGTGTGCGCTCCTGTTTTAAGATCGAAGCAAAATTTAATTTTAATTAGTATCGGAAATTTTTAAATGAACAATAAGTACCCAAACTGAAGTTTAATCCTACATCGGTTGATATCTAAAATTAAATCGTAATAACATGATCAAATAAACCAAAATTAGTCAAAGTATATATATATCATAAAATGAAAATTTATAAACGTTGACTGCGCGAATCCCCTCTAGTTATGCAACTATAATGCAATATCCTAGACTTGTTATTTCTTTGTTCACTGCACAAACAATTTTTCCTATTTGTTATGCTACACAAACTATATATCTGTTTGCAATTACCGAAATGAAATTGAACTGTTGAATTTCGTTTAATAAACCGATAATCGCATTTGTAAAACCAACATTAGTTAGATCCGGAAAAAAAAATCCAACCCTATAAGACCCAACCTATAAATAAACTTCTTTAAAATCAACCTTCTCAAATCGATTTGTATATTTTTTTCATTGATAAGTATACAAAATCTTACCGGAGAGAGCGACCATGTCGTTAAGGCTAAGGCCATTTTTGGCGAAAAGTGATGTGAGTTTGTTGACATCGTCGGTCGGTTGCGGCAGTTTCCCTTCGACGCTAGCAGCCGTCGAGGATAGTCCATCTAGCCTCCCCAATTCCACTTCATATCTTGGTCCACCAGCC